TAAGGTCGAGGGGCATAAACGAGTAAGTTCTAAGTACACCGTTTGCATAAGTTCTTTTAAAATTAAGGAAATATAAACGGAAATAGAATCTAATAATAAAAAGCCATATTATTTATGAAATATATGTAGGTATAGCGAAAAAGGTTAATACAACTCAAAATAATGTTTTAGAACCCATACACTACGTATGAAACTAGTGTTTATGTATTTTTAAAGTTATTAATTAAAAGTTTTATAAAGTACTTTTCTAAAGTATAATATTAAAACGTACATAAAATTACATAAAATTAATCATTTGGCTTAGGTAACTGAGATGACGGAAATTGTGACACTTAGTACTCGTCTTTTGTTAGAACAGTCAACCCTATCAGAAAATGGACAAAAGTAAAAAAATAAATCTCAATTATAACAATACCTCGACTGTCGTACAATCTCTGTGTCTATCTAAATGCATTGAAACGAACAAGCGGAGACGGTTATTGAGAGATCCATATGTTATTTTTTTATAAAGATGCGGCGTGTCATGAATAAAAGAATCTTTCCAATGGAGGCGTCAATCGCTTTGCTTATCAGTCAGTAATGAAATGTAATGCTATGATATTGGAAATAGTTAATAAGTATATATTTATTGGTGAATAGGAGTTTAATGGGGGCTTTGGTTTGTAAAGTTCAAAGCTCAAAAAAAAGTTAAGTAGTTGTGAGATGTACTTTATAATATGTATAAGTATAGGTTTTTATCCTGTACCTTGGCGGTTTACATTGTAGAGGTTTAAAACTAATTCTTTTTTGATCTATTCAAATCAAATACCAGTAATTTTCTATTTGTTGACCATGAATGTGATATTGTTTGTTTGTTGACTTTGAATGTTGGATCCCTTTACCATGAATGCAAAAAAAAGGTTTACAAATAAGATGTGTTAAGAACTTGTTCTAAATTATCACTTTAATGCAATAGTTTAAGTAGGTATCTAAAATGAAACAAAAGCAGAATAATGTAATAAAGATTAAGACAATGTTTGTTTCCCAGAACGAAACAAGTCTGATTCAAAAAATTATAACTTAATTCTTGCAGAAGATTTATAGGCTATTTAACATTTTGCAACGGACCTGGGAAGCAGAGTAGTAATAAAAACTTGGTAAAACTGTGTGTATCGGGGACGACTAGTGGTTAACATTATTTAATAAAAAAAATTGCGTGTTTTGTCAGCATATCAATTAACTTATATATTGCACTTGCAGAGCATTTAGTATGCGATTGATAGATGTGTAATTGAATAATATAATAAAACAGAAACCATTTTCTTGAGAGTGGTATAATCCTTCTCGGTGTCTGGTTCAATTCCATTTCTATGCGCTCGTAACATTCGAAAAGTCTATAAAATACTGTCGTCGCATCATTTCGTTTGAAGGGTCCACATCTCAAATCAACAGAAATCAGGGATGCCACTAATATGAAATTTCGGTTCTAGAATCAAATACACATATTTGAATAATATTGTACCAATAATGGATACGGTAACGAATATCAAATTAGATCGGATAATCCGATAGTTTCAGATGGTTTCAGTAATAGCTATATGAATATTAAAGTATTGTAGAATGAAAATAGGAATCGGTTATATTTTGACTTTATTTCTAAGTTACTATTTACTAAAAAACTAGCCTTAAGTGCAATTGTCGTATAGGTAGGTACTAGCTTCATCAGCTATATAAATCTTCAGCTATATATAGAATGTTCTGTATTAAAAAAATACTCGAAGTTGTTTGAAACGACTGGATCCAAGTATCGTCTCAAGAAGATTCCAGAACTTGATATACATATTATCATGGGACAGATGCTTGCTGTGGTAAAAGTGCTTATCACTATTTTTAAAGCTACTGATTGAAGCACAGAGTGTGTGAAAAGCAGACATAAAAGTTTTTAAACGAAATGTATCTATTACTAACGAACTTGAGTAAAGCTTACTTAATGTCACACAGATTTTTGTACACTGTTAGTTAATTATTTCCGTGTGAAACGTCATAATCTCCTTACACACAATACTTTGTGCCACATAATACTTTAGGAAGTTGAGATAAATATCTTATTGACTGAAATACTAAAATCCTGAAGGCATGTCATGGTTTCTTATTTCTGACTTATAATTTTGAGAATCCTTTCGGTTCTGTTATGTACAGAATCGTTGCGTTATCGCTGCAATCCCAATTCTTTAAGAAAATTATAGTCATTGGCACATCAAGGAATACTACAATTAAATTTTAACTCTTGTTTAAATAACCTTGAGAGTACTAAACTATAAAATCAAATACGCTCATTCGAATCGCAGAGGTCAGAACACTTGCCATATTTTTTTAAGCTTCTGACTTCAGTAAATGACGATCATAGAATAGACAACCGGAACCGACATCTTAACACGTTCTCCGAAGACGAAGGGGTCTTGATGTTTGTAGCGGTCAATCAACTAAGACTGATTGACGTAAGCGTGAAGATTGTTCGATTTGTGCACTGAGTCGATTCGCCTCCAATGTCATATTTATATATTTTAATTCAGTGGCTGACATGAATCTTGTACTTCATATACGTATCTACGTAACGTATATGAAGTCAAGCGCTTGATATTAGGTACTTAATAACATCACCGTGGCGGCAGACGTGTATCTAAGCTGTTTAGAGATACCTGTAGGAGGTATTAATGTTAAGGTGTAAGTATGTAAATAGGTTGCGCATTTAAGTAAGAGAGACTCATTGCTGAATAGTGTACGGAGGTACAAAATTAAAAAAACAAACAATAATATTATCATTTCATTTTATATCATACTAGCTGACCCGGCAAACGTTGAATTGCAAAACAAAAAAAAATAGGGATGGGTCACCCTTACCATTTAGGGGTATGAAAAATAGATGTTGGCCGATTCTCAGACCTACCCGATGTGCACACAAAATTTCATGAGAATCGGTCAAGCCGTTTCGGAGGAGTACGGGAACGAACATTGTGACACGAGAATTTTATATATAAGATTATATATCCGGCACAGAAAAAAGTATAATATTCTATGTAAAAATGGTTTTATTGTAATACCAAAGGAACCTATTGTTGCGTAGAGCTATTGGATCATGTTAGTAACAAACTGCAAAACCATTATGCTTCTGGTACATTTTGAGTTTAACGTGTAATTTGTATTTTATTTATTTGAAGCAATTGCGGACTAATTTGTTTGTAAAAAACTGAACATGTTAAAATACGATAGGTATAGGTATTGTTCTAAATTTCAATACATTATATATATTGCTGCCCAATCTCCTTGATATAATCTCCTAATCTCACGATACCCGTGGGAACTGATGGGATGTGTACGGTACGCGTCGTCGAGATTACATGGATTTACCATATTATACAACACTGATCACGAATGCAGATATTCTAAGACTGAGTTTTGGAACAATCTTTAGATATACTATACAAATAATATTTAACTCATACACAGTTACATTATACGTGCTTGGTAATCTAGTTTTTCTGAATCCATTCAGGTATTCCTTGTAATGAATTTCATGAACTTTTATTTGGATGAATTGCACAATTATCTGTTATGTGTAAGGCGTGAAGGAGTAAGCAGTAAATTTTAATTATATAGAATTTTCTCGAAAAATAAGGTTACTCTGTTAACAGTTTATTCCGAGTAAGTAATCTAGATTTAAGATACAAATATCTATATCTATCTTATTTGCAATTTAGATTAATGGTAGGAAAGAATAACTACAGTGAGCAGGTACGGAATGTGTGCTAAGCTCGGGTATTTAATGCCCAATTATGAATACCTATTTAGAAATGTTGCATACAATTCTACTTAGCTATTACTTTAAAACTCCTCTCCGATACTTGATGAAGATTATTTATTCCCTTCTATAATGGCAGATGTACACCATCATCATCAACAGCCTTTACTAGTCCACTGCTGGACACAGGCCTCTCCTTAGAAAGGAGGTTTTGGCCTACTACATCATGCTGGCCAGACGGGTTGGTATAGGGTTTGTGTCCAGTTTTCCTTCTCTCTGCAGTGCTGTTGTCCTGCGTAGTTTGCTTCCTTAGTCGGCTCTTACGACACCCACGGGATGAATAGGGGTGGTGACACTTTGTATTCTTAATCCGTCACCACACGGACGAAGTACGACATACTTTACGAAATATTGAACCATCGATACAAGATTATACTATCATACAATATCTTAGAGCATTACTCTATGTACACCATGGCTATTTTGGCATTAGATACCCCTCGATGTTTCGTACTCTCAAAAAATATCGAAAGTAAAGTTTAATGTTCACTATTTTTAAAGTTACTTTTACTGAATGACCTAAGTTTATGCTGTCGCGAGTCAGTCAAGTAATCGCTCCAGTGACATTATAGAGATTATTTTAAATGCCTTTTAGACTTATGCGTGTATTTCATAAATAATTAGAAATTTAAATTAATATGTAATATAATAACTCATACCTACTTTTTAAACTGTGTTGCTTGGTCACGCACGCCATGTTTACTTTTATAAAATATTTTATGTACTTGGCACGTTTAATTTTAATAGGAATTAGTTTGCATAACCGAGGTCGTGAGGTACTAACGAATGCTTTGATGAATTAAACACACGATGTACATAGTGTATCGCTGACGTTCGGTAACTTTATTCAAGCTTTATCACAAGAAATACATGAATGTATGAAAATCATATTTAACATCCGATTTTTTTATTATTATTTATTAATTAAAAAAACAATTTAAAACAACTCCCGCATTAGGAATATATATCCTGTGTTGCAGGGGAACTTTACAAACATACATGAAACGGACACATAGAACACCCAGACTCAGAACAACAGTTTGTGGATCACACAAATTGGTGTATCATGTGGGGATAGAACCCACAACACTCAACGCAGTAGGAAGCGGCGGCGTGGTGGCCGCTTAAACCACTAACTAATTTGAACTCTTTTTACCCATAGCACAGAACAGAGCACCGCGTATCAAGGAGCACCCATCAAACACAGTGTCAGGTCGCAGTGAGCCTGCCACCCTGAGATGCGTTGTCGAAGGCCGACCCAAGCCATTTGTGCAATGGTACAAAGATGGATCTCTACTGCCACCCGCTGATGATGGACACAGAGTGTTGTTGGAGGACGGACTTTTATTCTTAAGGTAGGTACTGTACTAATACTATAATTAGTAGTTTCATGTAGGTCTTCCTAAACCATCGATGCAGTTACACAATCTGAAAACCACATACTATTTTTGAAACATTAATGTTAAATAATCATCATATAGTTTTATTTTTATTTAAAAAATGTGTCATATTTTGTAAATCGACGTGTGTTAAAGTAATAAATAAATCATTGTTACACACAAATTTTGTACACAAGATCAGTGTAAATTGAAATAAACGACATAATAATAATATGTACATAGTAGTTACAAAGTAGTAATAACAAATTTTAAAATACCTATACAATACCTTTACGTTAACTCCCATATTAGTCATTTTCCAAGTTTTATTAACCGACTTCAAAAGAAGGAGGAGGTTCTCAATTCGACTGTATTGTTTTTTGTTAACATATTCACTATTACAAATTATGCTTAGGTTTAATGACGAAAATTCGTTTATACTAGTCTTGTTTTATGAAAGTCTTGTGTGTTGTCTTTACAAATGGTTACAAAGATACATCGTCTCGAAAGGATAATACATTTCTTGCAACATTTAGGTCAGGAAACTCCCTGGACGGTAGAAACACGCGAAATAACAAATAAAACACTAAGACAATTGTCCCACTAACATAAGATTTGCGTCCCGAGAGTGAACTAGAGTCAATAAAAGGCGGTAAAAGCTGAAATAGAACGTTAGCTTTATTATTATTGTACTCTTTATTATTACTGTAATAGATAATTGCTTATAGAATATCAAAATAAGTATTATTAGTAGAACAGTTGTTATTCTTTTTAGGTAAAACTATTACACTATTTTCTAAATTTAGGGGCTTTACATTATTACTATTTACATTACTACTAAGTATATACCGTAGTACACTTTATATATTTATTATTTAAAGTTAATAATTTAGTTATGTTTTTTTGTGTTTGTTTAATACACAACTTTTCTGCAAAATAATACTTAAGATATGATCGTTATCATGTACACATGGTACATGAAGGTACAAGCAGAAGGAAACATTCAAACGGTTGATAGTACAAATGCAAAATATGTCTGTGTAATATATAATATGCATTATTAAATGAATTTGTATTGTTTGACCATTTTCATCAAAAAACTCTTGACTTTGAATTGAGTAATAAAAAACACCAAGGTTCAAAGAATTATTGTAGTAAGGGTACGAAGCCACAAAGATTGAATTCTTCCTGAACTTTTCATATTAGTTGACAGAAGTCTTTTATCTACAGAGTCAACCGTGGCAAAAAGGAGAGCGATGAAGGCATATACTGGTGCGTGGCACGCAACATAGCTGGCGAGGCCATCAGTCACAACGCTTCACTGAATGTAGCCGGTGAGTTAAAGATTACTGTTCATGGGTATATCATTTGCATAGTAATGTTTATTGTAGTGTGTAGGGACCCTTACCACTTTAGAATTAATGTGGTATGTATGTACCTACTGGTGTAATTTACAGTTTAAATTCAGAATAGATTCTGAATAGAGTTTGTGTTATCTGACTTTATAACAGTTTTTTATTAAATTTGGAATAACTCTTGCACAGAATAATATATTATTTATTTGGAATAACTCTATTTTTATGCTATTATTTTTGTACAATTATGTTTATAAATATATGCACCTCTACTAACATTGAGGTGCTCTGTTTATGGTGACTTTCCTGAAAGGCTCTTCTTTACAGTTCTTCGTGATGAGTTCAGGATAGAACCTCGAGATGTTCATGTGGCAGCTGGAGAGCCAGCTCTAATGGAATGCTCACCACCTCGAGGTGTCCCTGAACCTTCTATCCATTGGCTCAAAGATGGTCATGTATATGATGTTGAAGTCAATGGCAGGTGAGAAAACATGGAACTACGTGAATTTGAATGTTTTTTTGTTACTAAGGGTGCAAACAAGTAGATAGCTAGTCTGATTGGTCGTCACTGTATATATAAACTCGCAATACCAGGGCTCCATCTATATCTTCTTCTTTAATTTATTTTACAAAACTTTAAGTAACTTAACACTGATAATTTAAATATAAATTAATAATCAATGTACATATTTATTCTTTATGCCTCCAAACTAAACATATGAATAGGAAATATGTACCTATGATTCGTATTAAATAGCTATCTTATTTCAGGGTAACAGTAACAGATATAGGCAACTTAAAGATCTTAGAAACGTTACCAACAGACAGCGGTCTGTTTAGATGTGTAGCGTCGAATATTGCCGGAGAGAGACAGTCGCGTGCTGCTGCGCTTATTGTACAGAGGCGCCCGCACTTTGTTGTAAAGCCCAGCAACATCACCGCACTAGTTGGACAAACTGTTGAATTTAATTGTCAGGTATACTACAACGACCATCTACCAAAGAAATTATACTTCAAAAACTGTGACTTTTAACTATTTCTTTTGCTTTATAGAGTTATGAAGCGAGCGTTAAAATAACATGGGTCAAAGAAGACGGCACTTTACCATCACATGCCAGTATAATCCGCGGGCTATTACGGTTAGAACATGTGTCTGCAACTGACGCAGGCGTCTATTCCTGCAGAGCGGACAGCCACGCCGGCACCAGTATCACAAGCGCTACACTCACAGTTTACTGTAAGACAGTCTCTATTTGAATCAATTTTATTGCAGCAATAATCCTAACAAATGTTTGTTCTATTTTAATACGGCCATCTGTTTTAGCCTTACCGCACTTCACGCAGATACCGTCCAATCTGACCGCATGGGAGGGCGATGTGGTTTCTATTCCATGTGAAGCTAAAGGGTTGCCCACACCGACGACATTTTGGATTCTTGAAGGAACCCGAGATTCTTTACTTTTCCCAGAATGTACGAAAAGTAATTCCAGCCTATTATATTTGGATGGGGCCAGGGCGGAACACAGCGGGAGAGTGATTTGCACAGCTGTCAACGCAGCTGGCAGTATTATGCAAGAGGCTTATCTCAAAGTGCTAAAAAAAGGAAACAATGAACTAAAAGAGCCTTCTTTGGATCATGAATATAATGTAGAGTATGAACGCGACGCGCACATGACGCAATACGAATTAGTTCAAGCGAGAAAATATTTGCAACAAAATGTGTTAGTTTTGAGAAGGGTAGAAGCTTTGTCTTCTACCTCTTTGAAAGTTGTTTGGGATGTAAGTAATAGTAAATATCTTTTTGCAGGAATATTACTGATATGTAGTTCGTATTTTCTCTTCTGTGCCACTTAGCATAATGAATTCTGATCTCTATCCTTAATATAATTGTTGAGATATATCTGTGCAACTTTTAATGAACATATCAATATAATAAAAAATATCAAATACAACTTTTCTAATCAATCCTACATTTTTGGAAGGATAAGTGTAAATAAATAAACTAAGAAGATTGAATATATTAAGACTACACATACATATTTAGATTCTTACTTTTACTAACATTTAGAGATTCGTTTTATGAAATAGTTAAATGTTAAATGTTGATTTTTATAGGTGTTAACCGACTACAATGAATACTTAGAAGGTGTCAAAATTTGGTACAATGGCACTACACTGAATTGGCGCAACGTGACTGATGAGGAAATTACGATATTAAAGCCTCATTCTGATGCTGTTTTGTGCTCAAACGGGTCACTAATGAATGTCGACAACAGTGGTTCATCGAGTTATATTCTTACGGGCTTGATGGCTTTCACACAATATGATATATTTTTAATGCCGTTTTATAAGATGCTGTTAGGGAAACCTTCCAATTTAATGTCAGGATACACAGATGAAGATGGTAAGTAACTTCAAAGTTCTTCTATTAAATACAGCTTCTATCATTATAATATCTTCCGACCCTTGTGTATGGTATACAATTCCATTATTTTTCTGTTTAATTGATAATAATATGGTTACGTACTTTATGGCTTGATGATCTTTTAGTACCCTCAGCGCCGCCCCAGAGCGTGACGGCTGGTGTGATAAATGCAACGTCGGCATGGATACGTTGGGAACCACCACCTGTAAGCACGTGGAATGGAGAACTCACTGGATATTTGGTGATTATTGTTTTAATACTGGTATATTTATTAGTTGTGCAGAGTATTAAAAATTATTATTTAGAACGATGATTAATCTCACTTTAGGTATTAAAATTTCTCGTTGTTATTTAAGCAAAAGACTCTTTATTTTTTAAGTTTTTTTGTGACTGATGTTGTGTCGCAGATGTACTTAGTCGAAGAAAATTGTTGGAAGTGTTTGGACTGAGTAGGCATTTTAAAATAAGCATAATGTATTATTTAAACACTTAGTGGTGACCAGATGGCTGTTGCAATTTAAAGTGTTCGCTGGCATGACTCGTGTGTTTATTTAATGCGAACATATTTGCTGTTGTGCGGTCAAGAATGTTGACACAACTGCAAATCGACTAAGAACTTCTCGTAAATGCAGATTGAAATACGCGTGGGTGGAAGTACTGGAGGTCGAGTAGTGGGTCAGATGTCTCTTGGCGCTCGTACGCGAGCAGCAGCGGCGAGCTCTTTGCGCGCGGGAGGACGGTACAGCGCTCGGGCCGCTGCTGTCACGCGCCGTGGTCACGGACCCTTTAGCGCACCTGCCCATATACACATGCTACCAACACATTCTCAAAGACATTACGTACAGTAAGTATTAAATTAAATTGCTGACTAATTTAGTTATTAAATTAGTACCAAAATAGTAAGCTAAATAACATTTATAATTTGGAACTGGTAGTAAATTGATTATAATTACATATCTTGTACTGAATACAATTCAAATCTTATTTGGTCTGCTTACGATATAATTTCCCCATATTTTGGTTTTACAGCGCTATTTTCAAAGTTTCAATACAAAGAACAGTTGCTCTCTTAGCATATTGTATTACCAGTAAATTTTGTGTTAATCTCTCGAAACAAGATAATAATTACTACAAACCCTGCGGTCTATCATTTCATGTAGTCTTGGAATATTAAAGTTTCATCTTATAGCAGAACTAATTTCTTCTCCTGTATGGACGTATGTCAGTAGTAAAGTGTCTTTGATATCTAATTATATAACTCTCTCGTTAAATTACGTCTCTAAACTAGATACCATTTGTCATCCAGGACAGAACCGCCAAAAGACACAAACATACCGCACATATTTCAAGAAACTTGGTTGCTAGCTCTTGGTCTAACGCTATTCTCAGTGATCGCAATCGGCGTGTTCAGCATATACTATATAAAGCGACGAAACAACATTCAGAGAAAGAAATCCAGTGGTAATTTATCTACGACATTCTTGTTTATTGTATTTATGATACATCTTAAGTACGTAATTGAAACATTGATCTTCATTGTAGGTCAAGCAATTGTCACGGCGCAACAATGTTTATTGAATAAAGACACTATTTGGTTAAGGGATCGGCCAGTATTCGCTGCTCCAAATGATCCCACTTTAGATATGAGCAGCTGTCACCAAAGTCTTCTACATGGTTAGTATCAAACCTTATCTATTCCGATAATCGAGTGTTTACTTATTGAGAATTAGTGACATATTTCTCACGGTATAAATTCAATTGTATCAAAGCAGAATGTACACGTTGAAATGTGATCATTGTGGGCATTTCTGTTCGTAAATCTCTCATCTACAACCTACATTGAATTAACATTCAAGTGGGAGGCCGGCGAGATACGTGCATGCCCATTGAAATATTTAATATATTTAATGCCTATTTAGAAATTGACACTGTAAATGATATCGTCTAACGGAGCCTACTGTATCTTAGGTGGGCAATCAACGAGCATCCTAAGTGTTGAACCGGAATACAGTCTACCTCAGAATTCCATTCAAGGATTAGACATGTCGAGCGTCGACAGAATTCGACGTGGCCCACCGGAACCGTATGCCTCCAGCGCCATTTACACAGAACTCAATTTCAAGGTATGCCCCGATAAGCTTTTCGAGAAGTACACTGTTGACTCTAGATTACGACGAATTTGCACAACTCATCCTTATCATATATCAAATACCTATAAACATATCTGTATGTATAACAATAAATATCAATTTCCTCACAGGACAATAACGAAATAGGAGACCCGAGGAACTGTTCGGAAAGACGATCCCATAACAACAGCATTGTTAGATCGTGTAATGGAAGTATTCAATACTCGAATGGTGAATGTTCGACGTGTTGTCATAGTACGTCTAGTAGATCAACTAAAGACTACAGAGAGCCGAGACACGAGAACGCACATAATGAGATTAATGTTTTGGAGGACGACTGTGCCTCTTGTCATACAAATAGGTCCGGATCAAGGAGTAGACAGGACAAAAGCAAAGTTTGCCCTGCGACTGATTTAGAATACGACTATCCACAGTGGCACTGGTTAGGGAGAGAGAACAGTTTCAAAATTCCCATTCAGACGAGCAGACATTCGAATGTAGCGAGGTCGGAACAGGGCTGTCAAATAAATCTGTGTGATATATTACCGCCACCGCCGTATGAGGTAATTTGAACTTGTTTACAATTTAACCCCCCTTTACTATCAGTTGTTGTACTGGACAATGCAGACATTTAAATTTAATGTATTTTTACAGAGTCCAGAAAATAAAAACATGTATGGGACACCGAATACTTAAGAAAATAGCAGGATGAGTGAAATCAAAGCAATAATCAACATTATCTTTTCAAATTCTATGAATAAGTTATAAAGTTTTAGGTATGTTCAAATTTGAACAATTGGAACCGAATCGATGGCATTAGTGTTAGGTAGACAATATTTAACTTAACGTCGGGCAAAACATAACCGTTGTAGATTGCCGTAGTAGTGCTTGTATGTGTAGATACCGTACTTTTGATATTTGTATCTCGTTATTTATTCCTAATCTATATTCTAGTCACAGTAAATAGGACTAGTTTTGACATTCATAACTGCCAGAGGATTGAAAGACACGTGTTCAAACTACTATACACATACACATATTGCAATAAATGTTATTCAACTCGCACAAACATTAGAAGAACACTTAATGAATTTACATTTAAATGTACTATCTAATGACTCAGAGTTAGCGTAGGTTTGTTTATTAACGGTTCTAGTAAATGAATGCACTATTACATTACATATAGAACTTTGTATGCTTTTGATTAAATTTATTTTCAAAATATTTACCAAACGTAATACTTTTCGTGGAAATTACTTAACTGTAATACTATTGTTCATGTGTATTTCAAGACTCATTTCTTATAAGCTAAACTTTTTTACCGATATGCCGCAACATGAGGTTGATACTTAACTGTAAATGTATACATACTCATATTTTTGAAGCCCTGCATTTCACTGCCATATACATTTAGGATTTATTAGAGTATTAGTTGTATAATCTTTGACTGTGATATTTATATTAAATTTGTGTATTAGAAGTAAATGTAACCCTAGTGTAATTATCTAATTTTCTCCCGAATTTTTAAATTTTTAATCCCTCACATAACGTAGGTAAGAGACAAGACATTTTGATCTGTATAAGAATATTTTCAGACCCAGTCCGAATGTACCGAAATAAAAATTTGAAATATAGCAAGTTTATATGAGAACGAGTATTTTATTTCTGAATTATTGATGTATGATTCCTATAAAAACCTAAGGTCCTACCAAACTGAATTTACTCGACAGGACTGTTGGTCTAAAGGTTAGTGACCTTGACTGCTAAGTCGGAGGTCGTGGGTTCGATTCCCACCCAGGACAAATATTGTGTGATGACTAGATTTGTTCTGCGTCTGGCTGTAATTTATGTAAAATATATATGTATTTGAAAATATATAAGTATGTTTATCAGCGTCTGGTTACCATAGCACAGGCTCTGCCTAGTTTGGAATCAGACGTCCGTGTGTGAGATTTGTGGTTATAATCCAAATGTTCATATTTAACTCCTTTCTTGTTTTTACATAACCTCAGTTGAGATGGAGATGAGGATGTATTTGTATAGTATTAGTATCTTTGAGCAGTAAATATAACAGCTGTTTTTCCTTGAATTGAATTTCAAAATAAATGTAGAGCTCTCTCCAATGCAGAAAGTCTAGCAGTTGTGAAAAAAAAAGAATGAAAAATACAGTCAATACCAATTTATCAAGTCTGTGACGTCTTTCGACTTCAACCTATCTAAATGACTATTTAAATAAATTTGGAAAAATGTAGTAGGCTTCAAATTTAAAGAATCTAATCCCAAGAATATTTGTCTTGCATAGAATATTGTACTTATAACTTTTACATAATATAATTGAGTAGCTAAAAAGTAACTTTCAAACTATATTTATTTATTGTTTGGAAAACCAACGCCAAGAGTTTACCAACGGTTTAACAGTTTGTCAATGAAAAGTTTTCCCTAATAAAAATTGAAAAAGTAAATCGTTTCGTAGGCTTAACTAGGTAAAAACTATAATAGGTGTAGATTAATATATTCAACTATGTTCTCAGAAGCTGACATCTTGTAATAATTTAATTGGCCGATGTCTACACACAAAACAGACGTCATAAATAATAAAGAGTCATCAATCATAAACAGCCTTTATTAATCCACTGCTGGGCATAGGCCTCTTGTTAGAAAGGAGGTTTTGGACTACCATACCACACTGGCCGGACGGGTTGGTATGGGGTTTGTTATTGGTATTGTCTGCGTAGTTTACTCCCTTAGTTGGCTTCTATGACACCCACGGGATAAATAGGGGTGGTGACACTCTGTATTCTTAATCCGTCACCACACGGAGTAATAAGGAATAGGAGAAGAAAGGAAAATAATAAAGAAAAAAATAAGAAAAAAATAAAAACTACGACTAAAAAACACGGATAACAAGTCTTTGTTTAATCGTAAAGCATCTTAATGTAAATTTTGCTGTATACTACTTGTTCTACTGTGGCTGATTTAATGTAAACCGCCAGTTATAAATTTAACAATATCAATTTATCTTGTAAGAGTAAATGATGTAATTGTAAGGGAATGTAATAATAGTACCAATATACAACAGGTGTTCTAGATTAATTCAATGAATTTGTAAAGTTTGTTTTTAATAATTTTTTTTGATCAGGAAACTGAAAACTCAGCTGTAGAGTAACTAGGATAATAAATATAATAAAATAAATGAGATTTGGTTTACACAGTTCAAGATATACTTCGATAAGAAAAAGCACTATTTCAATTGAAAAGACGAAAGGTTTCGGGTTAAGAGCATTTGGCAATAAATCTTTGAGCCCAATTTATTCCTGTCCTGCTTACGTATCGGCCACGTTTATTGCTACCTTTTCGGTGCCGAAAGAGCTTTTCCTTTATCAGCGGTTTTTGGGTAACGACGAAGGATACGATTGCAATTATATTATTTGTGTTTTATTTTTGTATAGTTATGTTGTATCTGCAACTTCGATAAATTATGGTAAATAAATATTTTCTTATGATGTTTTTACTTACTTTTTGCGACAATAACTAAAGTTAATTGCATGCAAGTTTTTTTCTTACGTACAACTTTATATTTGTAATTGAGTTTCGTGTACTTTGAAAATTAGCTTATTTTTATTTTTATTGAAACTAAATTAAAACAGACGACAAACTTTATTTCATGAGGCCTATTAAACATTTTAACAACTGGTTATAACTTAGCCTATCAAAGCCCGCATGGTTTAAGTGCTAGTGCCTATATTTATACGTACAATGCAGAATATCTCTTTCTTTTTTTTAAAGACAAACATTTATGAAACTGACACAAAGAACACCAACACTCAGAAAAACAATTCGTAGAGAATACAAACTATTGTTCCTTGTGGAAACCGAACCCACAACACTCAGCGTCGTAGGAAGTGGCGAGTTGACCGCTTGAACCACTACGCCGTCCGTGCAGTCATCCGTGCAGTCAATTGAAATTACTTATAACATTTTACTATTTTCTTCTTGGTTTCAACATTAACTCAACTATAATATTTAATACTATAAACAGGTAAACTTCTCTTTTGACACGATAATTAAATTCTGTTGTTTTAATTTTAAAAACTTTAAGAAAACTGTACACCAAAAGGATATAATTTTTAAAGGTAAACTGAAAATTCTTCAAAGAAAAAATCTTATGATATAATGATTAAGTAGTACTTAGTATAAATGTTATTGGAATACCCACCCAAAGAATATCCTGTAGTTGCTTCAAACATCGCGTATAAATATAGCGACTGTCCAAAATAATTACAATCGACACAGTACTCACTTTAATTTTTTTTTTTTATCTAAACGTATATTTATTTTCTGCCCTTTATAAGGTTACCTCGTTTCTAAGGAGAGGCCTATGTCCAGCAGTGGACTAGTAAAGGTTGTTGATGATGATGATAAGGTTAAGGTTCTCTTTCTGAGTCTTTTTTTAATCCGGCATTGATTGTATTTCTATTTGAATCAATAAACATGTTTTGATTGCTAGATTGGATTCATACAAGGAAAGAGTTTAGATTATAGACATATGGTTTATGATTATTTGATGGACTGAAAATATAAACCTACTTTTTATTAGAGCCCAATGATTTCTAAAACCGATAACTTTTTTATCATTGTAAGTACATGATTAATTATTATTATCTTATATAACTGTATTGAATCACAACTTGCAATGCCCAGTAAAACGGAGAAGGGACAGATGGACGAGATAATCCCATAAGTGGTGAATTCTACATATTTACGGAGAAAGGGATATTTCAACTACGGCAAATAACTTGTTCTGATCGGCAACCGCAGTTAAACGTTACATAATTCAGGCGTTTATACCTTACCATCACTTAGGAGATTACCTTGGTCGCTTAGGTTTAGGGACCAATCTATTATACATTAACTAACCGACTGATTGGATCTGACATCAAATTAAATAAAGCACTTATACGTAGAAGGTATTTTGCTTGATTAACTGAATATTGTATTAACGTTCTGCGTCTTTGTAATCTAACTAAAAAAACTACTAAATTGTATTTTTTTTTTGTTTTCTTTTAAGTTTTTGTAACTGTGTAACTAGAACTAACAGAAATGTTCATGAATAAAAAAGATAATAAATTGTGGTGAAAAATATCTCTGAGACAGATAGCTAGACATTTTTTAAAGTCTAGATGTGCACACAATTTTCACCAACTTCTGCTAAGGTACAGTTTTCTCTTTGTGTTAAGCCCCATAGAACAGTTTCAATCACCATTCAAAAAGCTCTGGTGGGTTGTTGTAGTGCGTTGGAATCGAAGCAATTTAACTGTACTATACTGCTCTCATAAATAGGAGGGAGCCCAAGATCGATTATGCTATTTTTTATACTTAGCTGGTACATGAAATCAAGTGGCGCAGATTAACCGTAACCAATCATAACTATCCTTGAACACTTTTTTACTATCCTACAGAAATTGCATGCCATTTTAGGTCGTCATCAATTTGTTTACTACAATAATGATAAAGAAAGCAAGAGGAATAAAACGAAAACACTCACAGTTAGTCTTAATAAAATACAACTCTGTATATTTATGTAACGTATTCATATTAATGTCACTCGACTTGCTTGCTATAAATCTGATAAACGCAAAGTAAATAATGTTTGGAATATATAGGTTAGTCTGGTCATTCACTCCGCCGATATGTTA